GGGCCCGCCCTCCCCGCGGCGTCACTTCCGGCGGCGCCCCCTCCCTCTTGCGCGCTCCGTCTCTGGAGTCGCCTCGGACTCCGCCCCCTGGCGATTGGAACGCGGGTCACGTAGCAACGCGGGGGAGAAAGGGAGAGGGGCGTGGCTCGGAGTTCGTCCAATCAGCGTGCGGGGGCGCAGGCCTCCGGCCGCTCGGCTTTAGCAACGTCGTTAGCAACACGTGGGGCGGGAGGAAGCGCTGGGCGGAGGGGAGGGGGCCGAGCGGAGGAGCGCGGGAGGGGGGCCGCGGGAGGGAGCGAGAGCGCCGGGAGGGGGAGGAGAACTGACGTCAGCGGGAGAGTATTATGGTCTGTCGTGCGCTGGCTGCTGCTTTTCTGCTCCTGGAAGCGGCCAAGAGGGGAAGCGGCGAGTCAACATGGAGCTTTCAGCGGTGGGGGAGCGGGTGTTCGCGGCCGAAGCCCTCCTGAAGCGGCGCATACGGAAAGTAGGTGCCCCCGGGCCTAGGGCCTCCGTGCGGCCGGGCCCTCCCCTCCCGGCCCGGGTTCCCTCCCCCTGCTGCAGCCCAGCTTCCCTTCCCCCAGGTCCCAGCAGCGGCCGCGGCCGCGGCCGTGGCGGCGGCGGCGGCGGCGGCGGCTCTGAACCCAAGCGCTTTCCTTAGACTTGCAGCGATGCACGGATTGCATGGGTGGGGGGCGGGGTGGGGAATGAATGCCGGTGCATGCACTTTGTGCAGCGTTAGGTGCAGGGGTGATGCAGTGGGCGCGTGCCTTTTGCGGCGGGGTTTCGAGCATTCATCTGGTGCATGCATTTTCGCATGCATTTCTTGTATCCTCGTCATGCATTTCTCCCCATGCACACACATTATCCGCTTTGCACCCGCAGGGACGCATGGAATACCTCGTGAAATGGAAAGGATGGTCGCAGAAGTAAGTAGGTTATATGCAATTCTCAATCCCATACTGTTATTCGGGAGCTTTCTTTCTTCCTCTTTTTGCCTTTACGTTGAAATACAATACAATGCAATGAGAAAAGTTGCACACACACACACACACGCACACCCTCTGCTCTCACCCTGCTCCTGGGACTGATGCCCACTTCTTCCTGATTCCCTTTAGGTACAGCACATGGGAACCGGAGGAAAACATCCTGGATGCTCGCTTGCTCGCGGCCTTTGAGGAAAGGTACAGACCCTTCCAAGTCCCAGCCACTCACTTAGAAACAAGTAGAGTGGCTTCTCTCCAGCCTGGACTAGAGTCCCACTTGCTTTCTTTACTCACGCACCTCTTCTCCTTTCCTTCTTTCTCCAGGGAAAGAGAGATGGAGCTCTATGGCCCCAAAAAGCGAGGACCCAAGCCCAAAACCTTCCTCCTCAAGGTAGGTTGGCAGTGTCCAATGGTGGAGGACAATGTTGTTGAGTCATTTGTGGGAAGGGGGCCCTGAGGACTGTGAGCCAATGGGGTGTCCACACATGTTGCCTATTTGTAATCTAGGAGGGAGTTCCCTGACAAGATGTCACCAAGTCAGCAGCAGCTCCAACCGTGTCTGGGGGGACTGGCTTGGCCACACTAGAATTCCTTTACCCTCCCCCTCCCAAATGGACATATAATCAAATGCAAAAAGTGTGCTTTTTGCGAATGACTGCTTCCAGCCAAATCTTCTATCCCTTCTCCCATCCGTCTACCTCTCAGCTCCTACAACCTCCCCACCTATTCATCCACCCACCCACCCACCCACCCATGCATCCATGTAGAAATTCCCAGGCATCATAGGGTAAAGATAGGAGATCAAGGCTAGAGCAGGAGTCGTGTGGGGGTGGACAGGGCCCTGCCCCACTCTTGATACTATCTTCTCTCCTGCAGGCTCAGGCCAAGGCAAAGGCCAAAACTTACGAGTTCCGAAGTGACTCAGCCAGGGGCATCCGGATCCCCTACCCTGGCCGCTCGCCCCAGGACCTGGCTTCCACTTCCCGGGCCCGGGAGGGCCTTCGAAACATGGGTTTGTCCCCGCCAGCAAGCAGCACCAGCACCAGCAGCACCTGCCGCGCAGAGCCCCCTCGGGACCGGGATAGGGACCGGGAGCGGGATCGAGAAAGGGAGAGGGAGCGAGAGAGGGAGCGGGAACGTGAGAGGGAACGAGAGCGGGGTACCAGCCGAGTGGATGACAAGCCCAGCTCGCCGGGGGACAGCTCTAAGAAGCGAGGCCCCAAGCCGCGGAAGGAGCTCCCGGACCCCTCACAGAGGCCCTTAGGCGAACCCAGCGCCGGCCTCGGAGAGTACCTCAAGGGCAGGAAGCTGGACGACACCCCTTCCGGGGCAGGAAAGTTTCCAGCCGGCCACAGCGTGATCCAGCTGGCCCGAAGGCAGGACTCGGACCTGGTGCAGTGTGGTGTGACCAGCCCTAGCTCAGCTGAGGCCACGGGCAAGCTGGCTGTGGACACCTTCCCTGCCAGGGTGATAAAGCACAGGGCTGCCTTCCTGGAGGCCAAAGGCCAGGGTGCCCTGGATCCCAGTGGTGCTCGGGTCCGACATGGCTCAGGCCCCCCCAGCTCTGTGGGGGGCCTCTACCGGGACATGGGGGCCCAGGGGGGAAGGCCCTCCCTCATCGCCAGGATCCCTGTGGCCAGAATCCTGGGGGACCCGGAGGAAGAGTCCTGGAGCCCCTCCCTGACTAACCTGGAGAAGGTGGTGGTCACGGACGTGACCTCAAACTTTTTGACCGTCACCATTAAGGAAAGTAACACGGACCAAGGCTTTTTCAAAGAGAAAAGATGAATGCTGGGTGGGTGTGCCCAGGACGAGAGCAGGGGAGAGAGTGAGCGTGAGCTTGGCATAGTGATTTTTATTTCTGGGTGGGATGTGGCCTTTTGGCTGGTCCCGTCCCTGATGTGACCCCCACCCCCACCAGCCCCTTTCATCCCTCCTTCCTCCCCATCAGTTTTTGTTGGAAAGATTATCTCTAGAGTTATATTTTCTATTAGATGTAAATATGTTATTTAAGAAAAATATCTAAATATATATATTTCAACTCTTGAAGTTGTTTTATTTAAAGGAGAGAGACTCTCATTGTGCTTTAGTTGGGGCAGGCAAATGAGCTGGGGCAGGAGGGGCCCCCTTGCCCCAGGGCTCTAGGGAAGTTGGGGCCTGGGTACAGGTTTCTGAGAGTGTCTGGAGGGGCTTGGCCTGCCCACCCCACCCCTCCTCCCTTCTCCCACAGCCCAATGCCAGACTCCTGGCACCAAGGCCCGGCCCAGATTTGCTCTCTCTTCCCATTGGCCAGGCAGGCCAACAAAAGGTTGGCTCCCCAATCAGAAAAAAGTGGGGGTGGGGTCAGTTTTCCTTTTTTCACTTTTTTTTTTTTTTTTTTTTTTTTTAAGGTAAAGAAGTCTATTAGGGAAAAACAGTATTAACTTGAATAAGCTTTTCGTGTGTGATGTTGAAGGTTAAAACGTCTCCAGCAGGCAGGGACAGGAGGTTTCTCCCCAGGACCACACCAGGAAATGCACTTTAGGGAGGGGTGTGTGTGTGGTACACGCAGATCGTGTGTATGTCATGTGGATAAAATCTCCCCGTTCCCTCGTTCCTTTCCTTACTCCGCAGAAAGAAAAGAAATCCAGCGAATCTGTTTACATTCCCGAAATGCCAGGATAAATTGGGAGGATTGCGTGTCAGTGCTCAGAGTTCGAGACAGTTGTTTTACAAGAAAAGTGTTGGGGTGGACTTTTACTTTTCGCGTCCTTTAGCTTCGCCAGGAGAAGAGACGGTGGCCCCCACCTCCCAGGAAGAGTTGGACAAGCCTCCCTGCCTGGGGAGGGCGGGCCGCCAGCTCTGTGATGGACACACGGCCAGACAGGCCCACCCTGCGGGACCCACGGAGGGAGGCGCGGCGGCGGGCACTGGGCGGCGGGCGCTGCTGGGAGCAGTGACTTCGCACCCAGGCCCTCGCCACGGCCAGGCTTGGAGTGTGGCGGAGGACCAGGGCTCGGAGATGGGGCTGGACTCACCCCCGCGGCTCCGGCCGGGCACAGAAAGGAGGGGCGAGGCGGGGTTTTCATCCAAGTATGTGCATCGGAACTTTTGCTTTTTCCTTTTTTTTTCCCCCGCCCTTCTTAAAAGCAAAAGCTATAATTTATAGGTCTTTTCGATTCGCAGTGTTCTCTATTTGAACTCGACATTCAAACTCCGCCAAAGGGGGAGGGAGGAGCGGGAGTTGGGAGTGGGGACGGCCGCGGCGGGGAAGGCCGTACGCGGCGGCGGGGCCTGGGACGCCCCTGCCCGGCGGACTTGACCGCTCTGCGCTCCGAGGGCGCAGAACGTGCGCCCCTCTTTTGACTCAAAAGCACAAATCAGTCCCCTCCACTCCACCCTCGTCTCTCGGAGCAGGGATCCCGCAGCCTCCCTGCCCTCCCCGCCCTTAAAGGGCCAGCGAAGATCTAACTTACCATTGCTTGTAGAGGGAGGGGCGCGGGGGCCCTGAGCGCCAGAGGAAGCACAGACTCGGGGAGAGCGAGGCGGGGAGTCGGGGGTGAGGGAGCTTCGCGTGGAGTGGGGGGTGCTGGGAGGGAACCCAGCCTCATCCTCCGCACTCCCGGCTTCTCAGCCTCTCTCTCCTCCAGACTTTCTTGCCTTTAAAGAGAGAAAAGGAGGGAAACGGTGTATTACATGATGGTGTTTGTTTTTGAATATCAAATTGCGCCTATAAAGAGAAGCCCCTGGAATGGGGATTTTTATCTACTCACATTTGTAAAACTGGTATTTTAGACTTTGTATAAAGAAGCGCCGTTGACCGAGTGTATCTATTTAAATGTCGATGCTATTTTCAGATGAAACTTCACTGAGGGGGCATGTCTGTTACCGAGAGGACGGGACTGGGGGACACGCGTCTTCACCTGGCCGCCGCCTTCCCTTCTCTCCCGCCTGCCCTTTACTCCCACCTCCCTCCCTTCCTGGGGCTGACTTTGCCCCTTCCCTTGGACCTTCCTCCAGCCAGCTTGGCTCTGTCCCTACCACCCCTCTGTCCTGCTGTTTGTCCGTGGCCGTGCGTGTGTGTCTCCTCTCGCTCTTTGCGACGCTGACCTGGGGGGTGGGTGGGCAGGGGCCGGGGGCCACGTGGCTGGGAGTCTGCAACCGCGCAGGATGTGTGCGCTGTTGGGTTTATTTGATTCTAAGATTTGTACAAATCTCCAATCGATCTCCGCCTCAGCCCAAGAGTGAAGCTTCGGTACTTATCTTCTGCGGTTGTGAATGTCTGTATCCAATACCGCTTTTTACGTGTTTAAATACATACTTTGTAAATAGAGACATGGCTTGGTTTTATTCTTCTTTTTCTTTCCCTGAGCAAAGGGAAGAGGCATCCCAGGAAGAGAGGATCCGTCCCTCTTCTCTCAGTACCCATCCCATCCTCCCGCCCCCATCCTCTCCCCCATCGGCGGGGAAACGGTTCCTGCAAAGGCCCTTCCCCAGCTGGGGAACCCACCTGGCTGGGATAGAGGTGGGCGTGGGAGGCCGCGGCGGCTGACTCTCCTCAGCCCGTCTAGGGGAAGCCGTTTGGCTCTCCGCGCCTACTGGCTGCACTTCTTCGGGACCCGGGCAGTATCTGGGGACTCCGGAGGATGCGCCTGAGGTCGGGGGTTCACCTTTCCTCTGACGGGCTCCTCCAACGCGCCACACCCCCAGGCCGGAGGTGTCTGGTCTCCGAGGCCCCGGGGCCTCGCCGCGTTGCCCACAGCCTCCCGGGCCAGCCCCTCGGAGCTGTTGTGAGACCCGCTTTCCAGACCCACCCAATCCTGCTAGCGCTCCCCGAAATGCAGAGCCTCGCGCCTATTGATTGAGGAATTGAATTCGCGGGTATTGCTAGGCAACTGCCTGCTCGGAGCCGGCGCAGAGCGCTGCTGATGTGATTAGTGAACCTGGCGCCGCGGCGCCGCAGCCCCGCGCACCCCCGCCCCGGAGTCCCCGCAGCCTTTCCGGCCCAGGTCTCCTAGGTGGGCCTAAACCCCAACGCTGGGCAAGGGACGGTGCGGGGAGATCAGAGTGCGGGGTGGGGGTGGAGAGGGAGATGTTCTTGGCCTTTTCTGGCCACAGACTTCACAGCAGTGGGGGCGGGGTCTTGAAGCCCGCACAGGAGAGCCATCCTTGGGATCCCCAAAGAGGCCACCGCACTAAACCCAGTTCTACTTCCATAGTATCCGGCAGACGTCACCCTGCCAGGACGCCGCGATTGAGGCTCACCCGTAACACCCACCCGGAGGAACATGGACAGGGGTAGCTCACGCATCTCCAGCCCCTCGCTGAGGAGTCAGTGGCCCGGCCCTTGGCAGATCTTCCCCCTTCCCAGCTGTGACCAGTGTGGGAGGGCGCGGAAGGACAGGAGCGTCCTGGCGCCCGGGCCCAGGGCAACGGATCACAGAGCCTTGAGTGCCCTTCCGACGTGAGGGCCTGCGCTGCCGGCCGAGTAGGGTAGCTGGCCGCCAGGTGTCAAAGATCTCAGCCCGAGCCTGCCCCACCGCAATGGGTGGTCTCTGTGCTGGCAGGGGACACCAAGAGAAGGTGGGTGGGGTGACCCAGCGATGGTCGCCGCTTGGACAGGGCTCCCTTCCGCGTCCATTCCTGGGCGTGTGGGGCGGTGGAATGGGCTCCTGCTTAAGCAGACGGGAGGGCCCCCACCCTGCCCCTTTTTTGGGTTCGCTGGCCATCAACTTCGGCTTTGAGGAGCGCCCTCACGGGTTTCCGTTTCCTGGGCAGATTCCCTGGGAGTCCCCCACAACTGCAGAGACCAGGTGTGCGTGGCGGCCTCCAGCCGGACTGGTTACCCTGCGTCCCGAGGACAGGGCCGGCTAGTGTGGCCACCGCGGCGGGAAACCTGGCCTCGCACAAACATTGGTTGGGTTGGAAGGTTCATGCTCTTCCTAGAGTGTTGGATAGGATTCATTTTCCGTCCCTTTGATGCTGGCTTCGCATCAGTCCTGATCTAGGCACTGTGCCGTGCGCCCGGGCCGCCGGCGCACAGATCTGCCCCGGCCCTCTGGGGCTCCTGTGCCGGTTTCCCCTTCTCATCTAAAAGCCCTCCAGGCCGAGAGGCGTGCTGTCCAGCGTGGAAGGCGGCTGCCCGCAGCCGCGGGTCCTGAACGCGGCGAGAGAGGCTGCGGGCAGGGTCGGGGCTTTCCTCCTGAGACTTCGGAGGCGGAGGTGGCCGGGGGGGTGCAGGTGGTGCGATGCAGTCCCGGGCACCCTGGAGACGCGGCTGGCTTTTCCCTTGTCGGTCCGAAGGGCCGGCGGCCGACCTTGGTGGGATGCGCGCGCCCTCTACAGGTGGCGGCGTCGGCCCGGGTCGCCCGCGCCCACCCCTTACCCCCGGGGGGCCAGTAGCTTTCTGGTTGCGAGCCCTAACTGAGAAAGCCTTATCTACCCCCCACCCAACGGCACCGCTGGGCGCCCACCACCACGGGCGCCCCTCTGCGTCCTCCCTGAGCCCCGGCGCTGGATCCACGAGGGCGGAGGGGAGGAAGGAGAGGTCCACACGCCCGGACCACCGTCCTCCCAGCCCCTCCGCATCCATCGCTCCCGGCGCCCGCGGGCAGGTCGCGGCGGCTTGGGGCCGGGCCCTCGAGCGGGGTCGGGCCCTTGGCAGCCCAGTCTATTCTTCTGAGGGGGCACTGGATTAGGCGATCACATCAGCGGCGCAGAAACTAACAAAGGCCGAGCGAGCTCGGCCCGGCACCCGTCTGGCCGAATCCCCGTAGAAATGGGCTCTCCGGAAAGCCTGGCTCCGCATCGGGAGCCGCGCCTGCCCCTGCTCGGCCAACTTGCTCCTTCCTGGTGGTCCCAGCCCCTTTCTGCAGCCCTCAGAAGCCAGAGGACAGGCTCGCTGGGGTCGCCCCTGCCCACTTTCTCCAAAACAAAACAGCCAGAGACTTGCGAAGGCAGCAAAAGAGAGCCCACCAACAGTCTTCTTTCTCTGCAACAGTCTGATTTCGAATTCGCAGGCCTTCCTGGAGCGGACTAGTGCTGGGGGTCACATTTCCATTTGTAGGGGGAACGCTTTCCTGAACCAAAAGACTCAGGCCTTGGCCCCAAGTAGCTTTTCACCCAGTGACCGCAACATCTAGGCCCAGCTTCCCTCTTCACTTCAAAGAAACTCTTCTCCCTGGAGGCTGGAATTTATGAATAAATTCATGCTGAGGTTGGTGCAAGCCTTAAGGGGTCGGGGAACGTTCTATAGTAAGCAAATCACCTCTTTTTTCGCGAGCCTTGGGTTAGGAGTTGCAGTAGCTTCTAACTCACAGTGACTCCTCTGGAATTTTATGGCTGCCTCCTTGTAAAGCGTTAGCACATGTGGTGGCTTCAAGGGGTTGAGTGGCTTTCCAACATAGCTTCTCTGGATATTGTGGGGGCGGGGAGAGGGAGAATTTTGGTTTAACTTTGAATGTCTCTGGAAGGGGAGCAGTCTCAAAAATGAGTTGATTATACATTGCAGCATCCCTGACCTCACCTAACAGATGTCGGTAACGCTGCCCCTGCCCCCAATCCCTGCCATTGTGTTTTTTCTATTTTTCCCATTAATTCAGTCTCTCAAACTCAGCACTACTGACGCGCTGGGAAAGATCATTTCTTTCTGTCATGGAGACTGTCCTGTGCACCTCAGGACATCCAGCAGCACTTCTCTGGTATCCACACACTATATGCAAATGGCACCCACCCCACAGCGTGACAACCAAGACCTCCAGATCTGCCAAGGGTCCCCTGCAATGCCAAATTGTTCTCTGTTGTGAACCACTGGTATATGGACTCTTAAACCCCCATCCCTTGCTTGGAAACACATGTTTTTCTGCACCCTCTGCAAGCGGCCAAGCCTTTCCCAGGCTTTGATTTTTCTGTGCCACAAGTATTCAGCCCATGTCCAGACGAGTTATTTTGCCTCAAGAAAGGAAAAGAGCAGAGTCTATTGTGTTTCCAGGGATCACTCATGATGTACACCAGGCCAAAAGTTTTTTAAAAAATTTATTGATATACTAAGAGATAACAAAAGGACAAAAATCTTCTGACGCCATTTGCTGTCTTTCCCCTGTAAAATAAATTAACATCAGTCTAAAAAAAGAAAAAACTCTGCAACTTTGCTAGTTTTCCAAAAATGCTAGAAAATCAACAGAATCATGGGATGCACTTGAGTAAAATCTGGTTGTCTAGGCACTACCTGTCCCCAACTCCATTCCCTTTCCCCACACCATCAGGGGCTTTTTGGGGGAAACATTTCCTTGAACTGATTGATCCTAATTAAATGTGGGCCCTGGGCTGCTGTCCTGTTTCAACACAGATCCTCTCCTAGGGCAATAACATATCTACTTTTGTTCTCTTTTAAGAAAGCAAACAGCCATAGTTGAAAGCAATTAGAAGTGGCATGCATGAATGATTTTTTTTTTTTTAATTAAAAAACACAAATCATGCCAGTGATTGGCTTTGGTTCAAAGCTTGATCCTCCCCCAGTCTCCCCTTAATGAAAGCTCTGGGCCCAGAGCCCTCTCCAACTAGGTCAGAATTTCGAGCGTAACCAAAACAAGGAACACTCTTTTTTGGTACAAAATATATACATATGAAAATATGCCAACACCTCTAAGGAAGACAGACTAGCCACTGCTTCCTATTCAATACAGGAGCAAACAAGATGGGGTTAACACACCATTACACACATACACACTGCCACAGTTCCTGTGGGACCTTTGGGAAAAAAGCAACAATGCATCTTGTCAGATGTGCCAGACACCTAGCTACACACACACACACACACATAAATAGCAGCAAATAAAAATAGAAAGTCTACTTTTATTTATTGGTAAACGTAAAACAACCAAGTCTGAGCATTTGGTGCAGTTCCCAGTGGTGGCCCTTGCCCTGCACACGTGCACACGCTCTTGAAGCACCGGGAAACACACACGACACAGTAAGAAGGCAAAGTGGCTGGGAGTAAGGTATCTGCAGATTCAAACTTTGGGATTGAAGTAGCTGGTAAGCAGAAAGGCACCGAATCAGGGTCTGGAGAGACCTGGCTGCTGGGGAGGACAGGCAGCCAGGGACAGATCCTCATTTCTCCAACAGCTCCTGGAAGGACAGAGTCACCCCAAGGGCTTGGAGAGCTGTTAGTCTGGCTTTGGAGCGTTGAAGGTAGCACAGCGCTCCGCAGGAAAGAGTCACAGGCTTGGCTGTCTGGGCACAAGGAAGCTGGTGCCCGACGCCCATCATGCCAGGATCCATGCCTCCTCCCAGGATGCACGGTGAGCTGGAATCTCTCCCTCTCCCATTGGGAGCAGCTCTTCCTTACTGTCTGCTTCCAGCTCTGGCCTAGCTATGTGGGACCCCCAGCCCTTCAATTCGCCGAGGTGGGCACCATTCCTGTGGCAGCCACCACCACCGTGGGCTGGCCCTCAATGAAGCCATGGACATGGGTCCCTCCCCAAAGGCACACTGTTAAGATCAATTTGGCTACACCAAGGCCACCTCTTCCTATTTGGCACGGTGAGGTACTGGGGGTGTCTTGCAGTCCGGTAGGCCTGTCCCCCGGAAAACAGAGCCCATTCCCGAAGTCTGGGCCGCTCCATGGAAGGGTAGCCTTCCCTATAGTCAGGCACTGGAATACAGCCCCATGCCTGCCCGCTGACTCCACCCAATCAGAGGAACACGAAGTGACCACCCCACCCCCTTTTGTTTTTGGCATCACAAAGACCCAGTGACCAGATTGCCTGCCGCTGCCACCTCTGGGCTGCCCTGCCTTTCTGCCCAAGCTGCTCTCAGAACAGAAATCCTGATACTGGTCAGAAGCCACACAAGGTAGCTCCCAGCCGTGGCCACCTAGAGGTGGCTCACAATCTTGAGTTAACAGGGGCCTCAGGGCCAACGCTGACAGATTCAGCTTCCCAGGGCCCTCTATCAGGTGGGTCCCCTAGAATTTGTCCAGCTTCCCAAATGGTACAGGTATAGTTTTTCAGCTGGAAAGGAGCCAAGCAGGGAGCGCCTAAAGGTGTGGGGGATTGTCAGGGAAAGTGATATTCCTTAAGGAATGCCTCATCCACTTGGGCAGGACCCACAGCACACACCTGCAGCACAGGCAGAGCCGCCAGACGGGCCCATCGACTCACAAGTGCCAGCACTCCTGTCCTCCAGGTCTCCAGGGCAGTCTGTGGGCCATTAGCACGAAGCCAGTCCTTTATTAGCAAAAGGGAGATGCTGGGAGTGGAGGGAGGGGCTTGCTTGCCAAGGGTCCTGCCCACTGGACTCCCCTGGACCTGAGCACCTCCACTTTGGGTTTTCCTTGGGACACTGAACTCTGTGCTTTCTGGAAATGGAACATGCTTCAGTGGGCCTGGGGCAGGGGGTGGGTCTGGGTTTGGAAGGGGACTCAGGTCACTTCTCATTGGGACACGGGCAGGAATGAGGGCGGCAGCCACAGCCTGCCTCTCCTGCTCCGAGGCGTGGAGGCTCTTCGGGTGGAACCTAGCTGTGGGACCACCCCCTCCCCACCCATGCTGGCTCGTAGGCTGTTTGGGGGCTGTGGATGCCACCCTGAATTGGGGCTACAAGGCCACAAAGCCAGCCTTTTAGGGCTCCTGGACTTGCTCTACTCTAGCTGCCACTGTCCTTACACAGTAAGGCCCCAGCCAGCCCCCAGCTGTCAGGGGCAAGCTCCCCACCTCACCACTGCGGGTTCAAGCAATGCTAGCCAGGCCCGCCCCTGCTCATCCCATCTCCCAAAAGCTGCCACCAGGTGGAGGGAACACTAGTCCCACTGGCCTTGCCTCCCCCCAGTACTCTCTGCCCACCCCAGGGCTGAAAGCGAGACACACCAGATGCCCCAGCTGACACCTCAGCCCCTGCAAGACAGGGAGCAAAGCAGTGATGCCATCACACAGGCCAGTGAGGAGCAGTTCAAACGCAGCCACGAAGCAGCCTGCTCTGTTCAAGACAGTCACCTTGAGCCACAGGTGCCACTGTGTTTCCTGAGGCAAGAGGCGAGAGCGAAGAGGCCTGCAGAGGTAGGAACATGGTGGAGACCAACAAGGCAGCGAGACCCCCTGCCCTACCTCGCGGGACAGGGCAGGATGAGTGGAGAAGCCCCTTCCAAGTCTGCCCATCAAGGAGACCACCCGCTCCTCCTCCCCGACCGACTCTTGAGGGTGCTTGGGCTGGGAGTCAGTCAGCCAAGCAAAACCACAGGCAGCGAAGGGGAGGAAGACCAGGCAGCTGGTGGTGCGGGGGATTCAGTAATGCCTCAGGTTGAAGAAGCCCACGCTGGTGGGAGACTCCTTCACTGTGACGGTGATGAGGTTGGCAGTGACGTCAGTGACAAAGACATGCTCGATGAGGCTGCGGGTGGGCTTCCAGTCCTGGCTGGTCTGAACGGACACTGACGGGTTCTGACCAGTGCTGGGCGGCGAGGCGGAGTCCGGGTCAGAGTCCGAGCTGCTGCTCTCCTCGCCTGCGCTCATCTCCGGCAGTGTGGCTGCCTTGCGGGCTTCTCCAGGGGCTGTGCGGCTCTCCTGCCCACTGGGGGTAGCACTGCCCTTGACATAGTCCCTCTTGCTGGCAGGGGTGGGCGGCGCCACTGCTCTGGAGGCCAGCTTCTCACTTTTGCTTGTGTCAGTGGGCATGGCAGCCCCGCTGCCCCCAATGAGGCCACTCCCAGTGCCCTTCCCAGGGACTGGGTTGGTAGCTGGGACACCCTTGGTGGCGGTGGCATGGCGGGCAAGCAGACCCACCCCAGGCATGCCATTCTTGACACTTTGCAAGTCCAAGACCTGGAGGCTCAGCTCCTGGGTGGGTGCTGACTGAGGGCCTGGGCACCCAGCAGGTACCCTGCTGGCACCATGGGTGTGTGTGGGACCCCCTGTGCTCCCTACTTTCTGCTCCACAGCCCCACTGCTGGGGGCCTTCGGGATTTTGCTTCCTGGAGGACTCATTCCCAGCTCCCCTTTCTGCGTCCTCACCTTCAGGTCCAGCCCAAGGCCGCACTTGGTGGTGGCCTGGGCCTTCAGCGCCAACCTGCTGGCGGCCTGGCTTTGGGTCATGCGGTTCATGTAATGCACGATGGAGCTCTGCCAACTGATGCCACCCCGGCCGGGGCTACTGGCCATGCCCTTCATCAGGCTGGCCAGGTTCTCTGGGGTGGCCATGGCACTGGGGCTACCACAGGCCTCCTTGGCATGGGCCTTCAGAGCTGCCAGGCCTGCCACGGGGGCGCTGAGTGGAGGGGGTAGCTTGCTGGCTGGGGCCCCCAGATCCTTCCGGGCGGTCTTCAGCACCTTGGCCAGGCTCACGGGTCTTCGGGTTGCCTTCTGCTCTGGGGGCAGGGGCTTTCGTCCCCGCTTCTTCCGGATGGGATCCTTCAGCTCGGGTTTGGCCACCAGGATCTGGGCCTTCTTCTGAGGCACTGGGTGGGTGTCGCGGCCCCGGGGACCCCTCTTGGCATCTAAATCACTGTCATCCTCTTCATCCGAGGAAGAGGATGACGACGTAGAGGAAGAGGAGGAACTGCTGGACTTGGATTTGGAGGGAGCATCAGGTTCCTGAAAAAAGATAAAGAAGTTGGCTGGGTGCGGCGGCTCACGCCTGTAATCCCAGCACTTTGGGAGGCTGAGGTGGGTGGATCATCTGAGGTCAGGAGTTCGAGACCAGCCTGGCCAACATAGCGATGCCGTCTCTACTAAAAATACAAAAATTAGCCGGGTGTGGTAGCACGTGCCTGTAGTCCCAGCTACTGCAGAGGCTGAGGCAGGAGAATTGCTTCATTGAAATTGGGAGGTGGAGGCTGCAGCGAGCCGAGATTGTGCCACTGAACTCCAGCCTGGGTGACAGAGCAAGACTACGTCTCAAAGGAAAAAAAAAAAAAAAAGATAAGGTGTCACACCTCCACTGCCTGCTCCCAGGGTCCAGAGCGCCATGCTGTCCCCAAGGAACACTGGGCACCTTGCAGCCATTAACTCCTGTGGCTTCTAGACCAGAGAGGCAATCAGGAAGGAGCAACTTCTCACCACGCTCACAGTTCCATGAGAGGCAAAATCAAAGGTAAAATAGAGAGAAAAATAGGTGGCTCATAAAAATGAAGTCAGAATAAGGACGGACGAAGTCCACACCATAACATCCTGGTCCACCATCAGCTTTCACGGGGAGTGCAGATTTAGCTCCGGGCTGTAGAGCAGACGTTCAAAGGGAACGGTATCCAGAGCATCACAGTTATCAGGACTCAGGAGGTTACAGGTCATATGAAGTAGCACACACAGCTTTGCAGCCTAAACCAAGTGGGCTTCGGTATCCCCATTTCCCAGTCTGAGCCTTACAGGACACAGGTAAACAAACCACTGCCCTCCTCGCCTTCTGGATGTCACCCCAAATATTAAGTAAGAGCGTCCTCGTGTTTCATAGGCCTCCCATGCTGCCTGCTGGATCAGAATTCTACAGCGTGAGCTTTAGGGAGTCAGATCCAACACTGCCTCCCTACCACCCCATTCTCCCGACTTCGACAGGAGTGATCTCCTCAAACCTCCTCAAATAAGGCGTCAATCTCTGTCTTGTAGCCATTCCTCAGTCGGCAGGACTTCTGCAGCCCCACCATCCTGCTCGAAAGGAAGATTTTCAAGACAATGTAAGGCCAGTATAGACCAGCCAACAAGATTCTACAGCACAGAATCCCGTTCATTCAGGAAATCCTCCTGGAAAGGCGGGTTCTGTAAGTGACTGAGCTCGTGGCCACAACATGCGGAGGTCCACGGGCAGTGCCGGGAGGAGGGAATCAAAGCAGCACCCGGGACTGAGGCCAGGCCCCCCTCCCTGATCCTGTCCTGCCTCACCTGTCCTCAGGGAAGGGAGGGGCCCTGCCATGGACCCCAGGGGTGCCTGCATACCTGTGGCGGGGTGAGCCCATCACTGTAGCGGGGAGGGGTGACAGGACAGTACCGAGACGGCCGAAGCGCATCATCAGTCCACAGTACCTCTGCCCTCCTCTAAAGCCCCTTCCGGCACCCCCTGGCTATTGGGTCAGCCCTGCCTTTTCTGGCCACCTCGATTTAAGGTACACTCACAGGTGGGCCTGGAGTAGCCCAAAATCTTGGGCTTGTGGGTCACATCTAGTTGGCAATCCTATGAGCACCTACTGTATGCATGCTTCCTGTTCCTTTCTGGACCCCATGGGAGTGAAGAGTGCTTGTCAGCAGCAGTTTGACCCTGCCACCCAGCAGAGAGACGTGCAAGACAGGCTGAAGCAGGAAGCCCCTGGGAGGGGCGGGGAGGAACTCTCAGCCGGCTGGGGCTCCTGGGCAGCAGAAACTGAGAGGCAGGAAGAAAGGGGGCTCCTGTTTCCCGAGTAGAGGGACAGACTGTTGGCAGAAGTGCCACCCCCTTCCTGAGGGCCCCAAACCCTCCCTCTGCCTGCCCCCTACCCCAAGGGAGTGCTGGGAGGTGGGGTCAGTATGCCTGGTGCAGCCACCCACCTTGAGCTTGGAGCGTCGGCTGCAGGAGGACATGGCAGTGAGCTTCCTTGGCCGGCCTCTCGGCCTCTTGCCTCTCTTCCGGTTCTGCACCTCCTTCTCATGTTCCCTGAAGGCACACTTACTAGTTAATGGGGGAGAAGCCCTAGTGCATACCCCTTCTACCACATAGGACTCTATGGCTTCCAGCACCCTATTCCTGTCGGCCTGCAATAGCTTATCCTGTCTGCTGCAAACACATCATCAAATACCCAAGGCAGAGGTCAGACCCCATTTTTTGCACTAGGGTCAGTAACCAGCCATCCCATTTCATTTGGGTAAGGACAAGCTGAAGAGAGGAAAGCAACGCTGGGAAAACGATGATACCCCAGTTTTCTCCGACCTCTCTTAAGACAGCTTCCTGCCGGTGCACTGCTGCGTGGAAATTCTAGCATATCCTAACCAGAAGTGGCCTTGGTGGCCACACGGTCCAACCTACTTACTTTCAATAGGAGAAGGAAGCCCAGCGCAAGGAGATGCCAGCAATCCCCTGGGCAGCTGCCTATGCATGCAACCCTCACCCAGACAAGGAGCAACATGGGCCCTGCCCTCCAGCCCTCGCACAGCCTGACTGCTGGCATATGACTCTCCCTGTTTCCTTTTTAAAAATACCTCTGTTCCTAAACTCTACTCTTGAGGGAGATAACAAAAGAGCCGAGTTCTGAAGTAGGCAGGGCTCAGTGCACGCCCCACCCTCAGTACCCCCCAAAGAGCCTCCACACCTCCTGGGTCATGAAGCGCTAGTAGAACCTCCAGCCCCCAGGGAAAGCTTGTATTTCAGGCTACTCTCAAGGGAAGGGTCCCTGGTAATTACACTGGGCAAACATCATCTCACTGGGGCCTGGAAGACAACCTCCTCAACGCAGTTCTGATCAGTACCAGGCAAAGCTCATACTCCAATTAAGTACTGGTCCTTAACCCGAAATCTCCTAAAAGGCCAGTGAAGAGTTGCATGGATCTCCTCCGCTGAAACATTAACCTGTGGACGGAGTGCTGTGAGCCTGTGCGTCGCCAAGGGCCATACCCCCACTCCCTCCAATACCAAGCAGGTAACGGCCAGCTCCCAGTGCCCAGAGGGAGCTAGCGTGTTGGTGGATGGAGAGGGCTGAACAGCCACCTTCTCCGTTTTCTTTCTTCCACGATGTAATCCAAGCCACCCATGGGTTTTAAACTCTTGTTATCTCAGGTGTTTCTGCTCTAACCAAAACCAGGGGCAAGGGCACAATCTCTCTCAACTGTTAGGACACTGTGTTAGATGCAGAGAAAAGTACCAACCTCTGAAGTGGGTCAAGCCATTCCCCCACCCCAAGGCTCACAGGACCCAGACAGGAAACACCACAAGACAATGGGTTGCCATTACGATTTTCCAAAGGGATTTAAGCAAGCACAGGCTCCTCTTCTTTTTACTCACCCCATCAGAAAACTCTTCTTTCCCCACTGTCATGTCCCCTTTGGGAAGACCTAAAATGTTCTGCTACAGCAGAAAAAAGGGAACGCACCTTTCGCCACTAGAGAACAAACCTGTCAGATTGACCCAGGCTGGGAAAGACTCCGGCAACCAATTCTTCTGCCTCTATCCATAGGGCAAGTCCAGCCAGGGGAGCCAGGGGGAGCTGTCAGTGAAACACCCCACGCCTCGCCATTGCTTGAGTAGCACTCCCTGGCCCTTCATGCTGGGATGCGGTGGGCACATCCACTGTCCTCTCCTCACCACCCCTTGCCCTCGAACATCTCAAGGAGGCCTATCTCTTAACCCAAGCTTCCTACCTAAAAATGGAAATGACATCTACAATGACAGAAACAAGTCTGGCCCAATCCGGTCCCATGGGGCTATCTGGTACCCTATGCTGCAGGCCAGAGCAAAATAAATGTTTCGTTCTTGAGAGACACCACGATAGGCATAAGCGCACATTGTGTGTTCCAGCTCCCTCTCTGAGCCTTCTCTTGCCTGATGGCACACATGTGCAGGGCTGGAAGGGCAGGCCTGTGTCACTGTGGCAAACCTGCTATCCTGGTTTTCTGTTAGCGCCATGTGCAAATTACTCAGCAGAAAAGGCCAAGAGAAGCTACATCTTTATCTGAAGCAGAAGCAACTGGAAAAGTTGGTTTCTGCAAGTATGGCTGTCAGAAAAACCAAAGCGGAACTTACTTGGGGTCTTCTCAGGGATGGATACAGGCTGGCTGGGAGAAGGTGGGAGAGGGGCTGGCTGGGGACTTTTACAGCCAGTCACAGAGATGGCCCTGGAGACAATCTTGCTAAGGGACCTCAGACCACAGCCCCAGCTCCAGCCTCCGGGCAGGCGAGCAGCGCCCAGCACGACTCTGCAACCAGCCACCATCCCTCCCCCACGCCCTCCCCACAGTGCTGTCAGCGTCCTCACTTCTTCTGGAAGGCCAGGAGCAGCCTTGGGTCCAGGATGTTCTCCTCCGGCTCCCAACTGTTATGTCTGCAAAGCAGAGGGCAGGGCAGCATTAGACGCCAGGCTGATGATCACGGCTTTGCAAAGCAGCCCGAGGGGGCCCGCCCTCACCGCTCCTCGACTCAGGCCGATGGCTGTGGCACCGTAGCACCATGGCACTTCTCAAAGTGCAAACCCAGGTTTTGGAGGCTGGCCACCCCCCACCAACCCAGCACTCTAACCTCAAACCCAAAGGAAAACTGCCGCTCCAACTCCCCAATTAAAACAAGGCCACAAGAGGACTCCCACAGTCTCTGCCTGGGAGAAAAACAAATCCCAATAAAACGCAAAGTTGCAGAGAGGGAATCCCCCAAACCCTGGCCTGGAGCCAGAGAAGGAAGGGAAGGCAGGTCCAGGATGCAGGGAGGGGCACAGGCGCCCAGCCCGAGATCCAGAACAATGTGGCGCGCGGGCCGGGGCACCTCGAGGGGTAGCAAAGAAAGAGCGCGGTCCGGGGAAACGGGGAAACGGGGCCGCGGGAGCAGCTGTGCACAGAGCCCCTTCCGGGGATGCCAAATCCCCTCCCTTCCATTAAAAGACAGAAAAAAAAAAGAAACCCCACATCCATCAATAGGAAGCTCAGGTTACAGCAGAGAGAATCTAGCCAAGAGGAGGGGGGCTTGCATCCCGCGCCTCCCTCCCGGCCCGGGCGGGGGATGGGGGGAG